GAAAGTAAATTTTTCTATTCATCTTACATTCACATTAAAGTTCAATCATCCTCCACATAATGAATAACAATTTTGTGTTTATTCTCATACTTCTTATAAGTGAGAAATTCTTCAAAGTGAATGACAAGAGAATCTCTTCCATTCAAAAAAAGTCATACGATAATTAAGTTTGTTATGGTATGATCAGACATTTTGTACGTCAATATTTCTATTCAATTTTCTAATTAGTATAAAATAGTGCATTACTACTACTACCACTACTGTCATGTGAGTTTTTATGTTTTATCTCTATAGCAGAAGCATTTTCATAATTTATAATATTATTCAGTCGTTTATACATTTCTCAAGATCCTAGCTACTGAATGGTTAAATGAGTAACTAGTAGGTAGACTAGTCAGCATAATTTATCCAATATTTCATTTCGCTTACTTAACTTTTCATACATAAGATATATTTTGTCGAACATTCTTTGTATAACTGTAAATCTGGGCTTTGTAGTAACAGTGTGTAGTTTGACGACAGTATATCTAGATAATATGCATCACAAATGCCATTTGGAACCTGATAAAAGTTGGGATAAGAAGGCGAGGTCACATTATCTCTAACTCGATGTAATATTTTATGACGCTAGTTCAGTCCCAATGATATTTTGAAATTGGTCTTATTTTCATTGTAACATTTAGTCAGAACAATATTAGGGTTTATATTCCCCAGTGCAACATTCTTTCAGGTCAGTATATTCATTATCAGTTAAGTGCGAGTTTCATTCAATATGAATGGTGTGAACTTTCGTCTAATATGACAATTATGCTCTTTGTACTATTCTATGTGAAATTCATATATCTATTACGGTAAACCTATCTTTTCACTTGTATGATGTCCATAAAGTGTGTGTGTGTGTGTGTGTGTGTAAAATCAGTGTATTTCGTTTAATGACAACGTGATTTTTGACTTGTTTATAGGTTATATTTTTGGAGATCAGGTAAATCTTCATTCCACTAGTCATTCATGTTCTGACTTTGCACCTTAGGAATTACAATGGTTTCCGTTTCCAAGTATGGGCAGAAAGACTGCGAACACAACACAGCCAACGCATAAATAACGGAGTCTGTAAACCATTCGTCATACGAACACATCTTGTTAGTAATCATTAATATGCACAAAACCTATGATTAGTCAACAGAACTCAATAGTTCAACAGTTTCACATACAAAATTTAGGAATAGACAAATCCCCCAGTTATTATCTTAATAATCCTAAAGATAAATATTTTTAATCAGCTTTTTCAGTGTCAAACATGATTCGTGTCTAGAGTAAATGGAAACAGGCCTCTGGACTTAGTATCCAAATAATGATTTTCATTACTTTCAAACTGCATTAGTTAGTTTGTCGATTACATAGATACTAGTCCTAACCAAGTAAATTATTTTGATAAAGGATGCAATTTGTAAACAGGAATGTTCTAATATTTCAAACTTAATTACTTACACATTGGTTGTTCATTGACTTTTTGTCAATTGTATTATAATACAAATATAAAATTGTTAAAGTTTTAAAGCAAATTTTTGGTTCACACATACAACTATTTCATTCATTTAATCTCCTTAGTAAAATTGGACAAAACAAGAATATAAAAATTTATAGAATAAAAGAAAACGAATTCACTAGTAGTTTATAACTTATCTTCAGTTGTAATTAAATCAAGCTAAAGGTAAAATGAATTTAACTGTATTGAAGATGATATTCAATTCCACTGACATTAGTAAAACAATGAGTCAAATCAATATAGAAAATGAAATCTTACAAATTGTTATTCAAAAAATTATACACAGAATAGTTTTATTTATGATGAGAAAGTAAATTATAAAAATGTGAAACATAGAAAAAGATGCAAGTTTCCATGTATGTAAGAGAAGTGAATGGTTAATGAACTAAATCCATAGAAGAATTGTTAAAAAGTTAAGGTGAATAAATTTCAACTAATTCAATTTAAGATATTTAAAAGTATAAAAAAATCAATTTTATTAATTTAAATCAATACATGATTATCGAAGTAATGGGAGATTATTTAGCCTACTTATTTTACCAAGATAAGGTTAGAAGTATTTAGTTACTATGAATTCTTTTAATTATTATGAAAGATTGAGAGATATTTATCTGATAAGTTATATTAATATAGTGTCTAAAAATGCCATTTGTAGATCTTTTTTTCTAAACAAACAAAAATTTTCAGTGTTACTACCTTAATTTCATTAACATGTACACTGCATTAAGGGTAAACTTTGAAATATTTCCGACTAATATTTAATTTGTGACTATATACTATTGTACACTGGGATCAACCAAGCTGAAATGAAACCTTTATTTAGTAAACATACTGAAAATCCTAGATATTCGACAGTTATTAGTGGAATCCAGGAGGTGTATTCCGTCCTATTTGGAACTCATCACCTTCATCATGATGCTGATATCCACAGTTAGATTCGAACCCAATTCGTCAAATGCCTATCGTGTTATGCACTACGTTATTGAGTCGAGATAGCCACTAGCTTGTACAAACGGACATGTACTTTAATTCAGTTTGTAATGATTTTATGTTCTTGACTGAATTTTAATCAGTCAATAACAGGATCATTAAAGATTGTATTTGTTTTATATTTCATTATCTCACTGTACATGTTAAAATTTTCCCTAATTTCCATTTTTAATTCTGTTAAGTTCTTTGCTTTATATAGTATATGACAACTTAAATCTATAAGTATTCGTCTCAGATAAAATTGCACCTCTGACTGACTATCGTAACGGGTAGATTGAAACATACACCATAATTTAAGGAAGGCAGTGAAGTATTCTAACCTTAAGATTTTCCAGTCGTTTCTTATATATATAAATATATATATGGAATTTTCTAGTTGTTTAATACAGTATCTTGTAACTCTTAGAATTCTACAATTTATCATCACATTGTAAATAAACAATTATCTATCTTTATAACGATTTACAAAATTTAACTTTCTCTATCGATTCAATTCATTAATTTACTAGTTTCTTTGGAACTGAATGTTCTTTTAACACATTTGAAGTATTGTCCGCTTGTATATATCTATATATCTATATATCTATATCTATATCTATATCTATATATATATATATATATATATATATATATATATATATATATATATGTTTTACATCTAAATAACAAATTCATTTTATTCCATAAATCTGTACGTTCTTGTTTTGTGCAAGTCTTTCAGATGTATATGTCATTGAAAATGATGTATAGATTTCAATGACTTAATAATATCATTCATTAAAACAAATCTATGAACTCATAGAATTGAAGCTTTAATCATTATTGTTCCATTTTCTACATGAAACATATCATTTACATAATGATACTATTCGATCAATATAAAATATAACATATAAACATTTCATGTTTGCATTTGGAAAGAAAAGAAAAAACAAATCATAATTTGTACAGTGATTTGTTTTTTCAATTCACTAGGTAGAAAATGTTTATGGAAACTTAATACACAGACATAAATCGATAAAGAAATTTCGTTGTATATTCATTTGTAAATAGGATTTTTAATAAATACATAATGATGTAAAATTGATATTATAGATGGATTAATAATGTTTACTTTAATTACACTTTTTGAGTCTCATTCTTTTGTGGATTTCTTCTCTTGCCAACCTACGCAACAATTAGATTTTTTTTTCGAAACAAAAGAATGAAATACAGAACTGATGATCTCGCGATTTTATTATTGATGGCATGTCATTTATATATAAATATTGTAAGCTGATATAAATATACATTTTACAATGTCAATATTTAGATCAATATTCTCACGCAGACATTTTTTGATAAATTACAGTTGAATCATTGCAAAGCACAACACATATTCGATGATATTGGAATTATATCAAATCACTTCTTTTAAACAAAACGACAACAGCAACCGATAAATTAGATAGACATACGTGTTTATAGACATATGTAAGGATGCAACTACATTACTTGGAAATAATTTCTAACATAAAATGTAAGGAACCTATTAGGATCTTATTACTGTTGTTGTTGTTGTTGTATCTTACGATATAAACTAACGAACAGAACATTTTTCTATACACAGTAACTTCACATCGTAGTTTTCTATAGAGTCAGCCAATTTAAATGAAATCTGACTTTTGAATATGTTTAAAAAAAATTACTACTTGCATATATTAAATCTTTCCAACTAAACCACCTCGTTTAGAGAATAATGATATATTATCAAAATCTGCCCATACCATTCTTTGACAGGTTCTTTGATTATATACAACAAGTGACACTACTCGACTGCCTAGACTGAAGTGAAACGATACTTCGATCTATGACCTGTTGGTTACAAACCATGTCAGCCATTAAGCCACTGTCCCACAGAACACAGTAAGACAGTTTTTTTTCTTATAAATAAAATGAACGTAGTGGCAACAACTCTGAACTATCAAAACATAACGAAGTTCCAACAATTACAACTGTTCAAATTATTGTTAGTTTATTGTCATTATTGATGGAATAAAATAAAATTAAACAGGATAAATCTTCTGCAACTACCAACTTCATTTTCAAAAGATTGGTTTTTTATAGTGGAAATCGCTTCACAACAATACTGGTTATTATAGATATAACTAGGTAATGTTGATTGCTAAATAAATTTTAAATATATACAATACAACTGTAATAATAAAATCAATTCGTGTATCATAAACAAATCCTAATTGTTAGCTTGAATATACGATTATAATCTGTTTGTGTGCTAGTCTATAAATAACAAGTCCCTGGAAATTCAGTAACCAAAAACCATTCACAATGTCTTCCTAAATCAAGAAATTTTAAACTTTATTTCAAAGCACTATTATGTAAATAAAAATGATTAACGATGAAAGCCCGGTGTGAGGGAGATTCCGTGGCAATGTTTATGAGAGAAGCTTTCACGAACAGCTTACTGAGATTTAATGCAATTTACTTATCACCATCAAATATAAATATTAACTGAGGTATTGAAATACTCTGACTACTTTTGTACACTTCCCAGATATTTAGTAGGAACGAGTCAGATAAGACCAAGTGGATAAATAATGTAAACTGACTATACAAAACAAGAAGTGCTGCTGTTATCCCAGAATCTTTATGTATGAATGAGCTCCAGAAACGGAGATCGGAAGATGGCATCTGCTTTGTGATTGTGATGAACCGTAATTTAATAAAAATACAATGCATAGTTACTCAATTAAAATAAATTTACAATGGAAATAGTTCCAGAATGATATGTGCTGATCGAATCGACAATGTAAATTATCGTATAGGATAATTTAAACCCCAGAAAAACAGTATTACTAGTAGTAGTAGTAGTAGTAGTAGTAGTAGTAGTAGTAGTAGTAGTAGTAGTAGTAGTAGTAGTAGTAGTAGTAGTAGTAGTAGTAGTAGTAGTAGTAGTAGTAGTAGTAGTAGTAGTAGTAGTAGTAGTAGTAGTAGTAGTAGTAGTAGTAGTAGTAGTAGTAGTAGTAGTAGTAGTAGTAGTAGTAGTAGTAGTAGTAGTAGTAGTAGTAGTAGTAGTAGTAGTAGTAGTAGTAGTAGTAGTAGTAGTAGTAGTAGTAGTAGTAGTAGTAGTAGTAGTAGTAGTAGTAGTAGTAGTAGTAGTAGTAGTAGTAGTAGTAGTAGTAGTAGTAGTAGTAGTAGTAGTAGTAGTAGTAGTAGTAGTAGTAGTAGTAGTAGTAGTAGTAGTAGTAGTAGTAGTAGTAGTAGTAGTAGTAGTAGTAGTAGTAGTAGTAGTAGTAGTAGTAGTAGTAGTAGTAGTAGTAGTAGTAGTAGTAGTAGTAGTAGTAGTAGTAGTAGTAGTAGTAGTAGTAGTAGTAGTAGTAGTAGTAGTAGTAGTAGTAGTAGTAGTAGTAGTAGTAGTAGTAGTAGTAGTAGTAGTAGTAGTAGTAGTAGTAGTAGTAGTAGTAGTAGTAGTAGTAGTAGTAGTAGTAGTAGTAGTAGTAGTAGTAGTAGTAGTAGTAGTAGTAGTAGTAGTAGTAGTAGTAGTAGTAGTAGTAGTAGTAGTAGTAGTAGTAGTAGTAGTAGTAGTAGTAGTAGTAGTAGTAGTAGTAGTAGTAGTAGTAGTAGTAGTAGTAGTAGTAGTAGTAGTAGTAGTAGTAGTAGTAGTAGTAGTAGTAGTAGTAGTAGTAGTAGTAGTAGTAGTAGTAGTAGTAGTAGTAGTAGTAGTAGTAGTAGTAGTAGTAGTAGTAGTAGTAGTAGTAGTAGTAGTAGTAGTAGTAGTAGTAGTAGTAGTAGTAGTAGTAGTAGTAGTAGTAGTAGTAGTAGTAGTAGTAGTAGTAGTAGTAGTAGTAGTAGTAGTAGTAGTAGTAGTAGTAGTAGTAGTAGTAGTAGTAGTAGTAGTAGTAGTAGTAGTAGTAGTAGTAGTAGTAGTAGTAGTAGTAGTAGTAGTAGTAGTAGTAGTAGTAGTAGTAGTAGTAGTAGTAGTAGTAGTAGTAGTAGTAGTAGTAGTAGTAGTAGTAGTAGTAGTAGTAGTAGTAGTAGTAGTAGTAGTAGTAGTAGTAGTAGTAGTAGTAGTAGTAAGTAGTAGTAGTAGTAGTAGTAGTAGTAGTAGTAGTAGTAGTAGTAGTAGTAGTAGTAGTAGTAGTAGTAGTAGTAGTAGTAGTAGTAGTAGTAGTAGTAGTAGTAGTAGTAGTAGTAGTAGTAGTAGTAGTAGTAGTAGTAGTAGTAGTAGTAGTAGTAGTAGTAGTAGTAGTAGTAGTAGTAGTAGTAGTAGTAGTAGTAGTAGTAGTAGTAGTAGTAGTAGTAGTAGTAGTAGTAGTAGTAGTAGTAGTAGTAGTAGTAGTAGTAGTAGTAGTAGTAGTAGTAGTAGTAGTAGTAGTAGTAGTAGTAGTAGTAGTAGTAGTAGTAGTAGTAGTAGTAGTAGTAGTAGTAGTAGTAGTAGTAGTAGTAGTAGTAGTAGTAGTAGTAGTAGTAGTAGTAGTAGTAGTAGTAGTAGTAGTAGTAGTAGTAGTAGTAGTAGTAGTAGTAGTAGTAGTAGTAGTAGTAGTAGTAGTAGTAGTAGTAGTAGTAGTAGTAGTAGTAGTAGTAGTAGTAGTAGTAGTAGTAGTAGTAGTAGTAGTAGTAGTAGTAGTAGTAGTAGTAGTAGTAGTAGTAGTAGTAGTAGTAGTAGTAGTAGTAGTAGTAGTAGTAGTAGTAGTAGTAGTAGTAGTAGTAGTAGTAGTAGTAGTAGTAGTAGTAGTAGTAGTAGTAGTAGTAGTAGTAGTAGTAGTAGTAGTAGTAGTAGTAGTAGTAGTAGTAGTAGTAGTAGTAGTAGTAGTAGTAGTAGTAGTAGTAGTAGTAGTAGTAGTAGTAGTAGTAGTAGTAGTAGTAGTAGTAGTAGTAGTAGTAGTAGTAGTAGTAGTAGTAGTAGTAGTAGTAGTAGTAGTAGTAGTAGTAGTAGTAGTAGTAGTAGTAGTAGTAGTAGTAGTAGTAGTAGTAGTAGTAGTAGTAGTAGTAGTAGTAGTAGTAGTAGTAGTAGTAGTAGTAGTAGTAGTAGTAGTAGTAGTAGTAGTAGTAGTAGTAGTAGTAGTAGTAGTAGTAGTAGTAGTAGTAGTAGTAGTAGTAGTAGTAGTAGTAGTAGTAGTAGTAGTAGTAGTAGTAGTAGTAGTAGTAGTAGTAGTAGTAGTAGTAGTAGTAGTAGTAGTAGTAGTAGTAGTAGTAGTAGTAGTAGTAGTAGTAGTAGTAGTAGTAGTAGTAGTAGTAGTAGTAGTAGTAGTAGTAGTAGTAGTAGTAGTAGTAGTAGTAGTAGTAGTAGTAGTAGTAGTAGTAGTAGTAGTAGTAGTAGTAGTAGTAGTAGTAGTAGTAGTAGTAGTAGTAGTAGTAGTAGTAGTAGTAGTAGTAGTAGTAGTAGTAGTAGTAGTAGTAGTAGTAGTAGTAGTAGTAGTAGTAGTAGTAGTAGTAGTAGTAGTAGTAGTAGTAGTAGTAGTAGTAGTAGTAGTAGTAGTAGTAGTAGTAGTAGTAGTAGTAGTAGTAGTAGTAGTAGTAGTAGTAGTAGTAGTAGTAGTAGTAGTAGTAGTAGTAGTAGTAGTAGTAGTAGTAGTAGTAGTAGTAGTAGTAGTAGTAGTAGTAGTAGTAGTAGTAGTAGTAGTAGTAGTAGTAGTAGTAGTAGTAGTAGTAGTAGTAGTAGTAGTAGTAGTAGTAGTAGTAGTAGTAGTAGTAGTAGTAGTAGTAGTAGTAGTAGTAGTAGTAGTAGTAGTAGTAGTAGTAGTAGTAGTAGTAGTAGTAGTAGTAGTAGTAGTAGTAGTAGTAGTAGTAGTAGTAGTAGTAGTAGTAGTAGTAGTAGTAGTAGTAGTAGTAGTAGTAGTAGTAGTAGTAGTAGTAGTAGTAGTAGTAGTAGTAGTAGTAGTAGTAGTAGTAGTAGTAGTAGTAGTAGTAGTAGTAGTAGTAGTAGTAGTAGTAGTAGTAGTAGTAGTAGTAGTAGTAGTAGTAGTAGTAGTAGTAGTAGTAGTAGTAGTAGTAGTAGTAGTAGTAGTAGTAGTAGTAGTAGTAGTAGTAGTAGTAGTAGTAGTAGTAGTAGTAGTAGTAGTAGTAGAGTAGTAGTAGTAGTAGTAGTAGTAGTAGTAGTAGTAGTAGTAGTAGTAGTAGTAGTAGTAGTAGTAGTAGTAGTAGTAGTAGTAGTAGTAGTAGTAGTAGTAGTAGTAGTAGTAGTAGTAGTAGTAGTAGTAGTAGTAGTAGTAGTAGTAGTAGTAGTAGTAGTAGTAGTAGTAGTAGTAGTAGTAGTAGTAGTAGTAGTAGTAGTAGTAGTAGTAGTAGTAGTAGTAGTAGTAGTAGTAGTAGTAGTAGTAGTAGTAGTAGTAGTAGTAGTAGTAGTAGTAGTAGTAGTAGTAGTAGTAGTAGTAGTAGTAGTAGTAGTAGTAGTAGTAGTAGTAGTAGTAGTAGTAGTAGTAGTAGTAGTAGTAGTAGTAGTAGTAGTAGTAGTAGTAGTAGTAGTAGTAGTAGTAGTAGTAGTAGTAGTAGTAGTAGTAGTAGTAGTAGTAGTAGTAGTAGTAGTAGTAGTAGTAGTAGTAGTAGTAGTAGTAGTAGTAGTAGTAGTAGTAGTAGTAGTAGTAGTAGTAGTAGTAGTAGTAGTAGTAGTAGTAGTAGTAGTAGTAGTAGTAGTAGTAGTAGTAGTAGTAGTAGTAGTAGTAGTAGTAGTAGTAGTAGTAGTAGTAGTAGTAGTAGTAGTAGTAGTAGTAGTAGTAGTAGTAGTAGTAGTAGTAGTAGTAGTAGTAGTAGTAGTAGTAGTAGTAGTAGTAGTAGTAGTAGTAGTAGTAGTAGTAGTAGTAGTAGTAGTAGTAGTAGTAGTAGTAGTAGTAGTAGTAGTAGTAGTAGTAGTAGTAGTAGTAGTAGTAGTAGTAGTAGTAGTAGTAGTAGTAGTAGTAGTAGTAGTAGTAGTAGTAGTAGTAGTAGTAGTAGTAGTAGTAGTAGTAGTAGTAGTAGTAGTAGTAGTAGTAGTAGTAGTAGTAGTAGTAGTAGTAGTAGTAGTAGTAGTAGTAGTAGTAGTAGTAGTAGTAGTAGTAGTAGTAGTAGTAGTAGTAGTAGTAGTAGTAGTAGTAGTAGTAGTAGTAGTAGTAGTAGTAGTAGTAGTAGTAGTAGTAGTAGTAGTAGTAGTAGTAGTAGTAGTAGTAGTAGTAGTAGTAGTAGAAGTAGTAGTAGTAGTAGTAGTAGTAGTAGTAGTAGTAGTAGTAGTAGTAGTAGTAGTAGTAGTAGTAGTAGTAGTAGTAGTAGTAGTAGTAGTAGTAGTAGTAGTAGTAGTAGTAGTAGTAGTAGTAGTAGTAGTAGTAGTAGTAGTAGTAGTAGTAGTAGTAGTAGTAGTAGTAGTAGTAGTAGTAGTAGTAGTAGTAGTCGTAGTAGTAGTAGTAGTAGTAGTAGTAGTAGTAGTAGTAGTAGTAGTAGTAGTAGTAGTAGTAGTAGTAGTAGTAGTAGTAGTAGTAGTAGTAGTAGTAGTAGTAGTAGTAGTAGTAGTAGTAGTAGTAGTAGTAGTAGTAGTAGTAGTAGTAGTAGTAGTAGTAGTAGTAGTAGTAGTAGTAGTAGTAGTAGTAGTAGTAGTAGTAGTAGTAGTAGTAGTAGTAGTAGTAGTAGTAGTAGTAGTAGTAGTAGTAGTAGTAGTAGTAGTAGTAGTAGTAGTAGTAGTAGTAGTAGTAGTAGTAGTAGTAGTAGTAGTAGTAGTAGTAGTAGTAGTAGTAGTAGTAGTAGTAGTAGTAGTAGTAGTAGTAGTAGTAGTAGTAGTAGTAGTAGTAGTAGTAGTAGTAGTAGTAGTAGTAGTAGTAGTAGTAGTAGTAGTAGTAGTAGTAGTAGTAGTAGTAGTAGTAGTAGTAGTAGTAGTAGTAGTAGTAGTAGTAGTAGTAGTAGTAGTAGTAGTAGTAGTAGTAGTAGTAGTAGTAGTAGTAGTAGTAGTAGTAGTAGTAGTAGTAGTAGTAGTAGTAGTAGTAGTAGTAGTAGTAGTAGTAGTAGTAGTAGTAGTAGTAGTAGTAGTAGTAGTAGTAGTAGTAGTAGTAGTAGTAGTAGTAGTAGTAGTAGTAGTAGTAGTAGTAGTAGTAGTAGTAGTAGTAGTAGTAGTAGTAGTAGTAGTAGTAGTAGTAGTAGTAGTAGTAGTAGTAGTAGTAGTAGTAGTAGTAGTAGTAGTAGTAGTAGTAGTAGTAGTAGTAGTAGTAGTAGTAGTAGTAGTAGTAGTAGTAGTAGTAGTAGTAGTAGTAGTAGTAGTAGTAGTAGTAGTAGTAGTAGTAGTAGTAGTAGTAGTAGTAGTAGTAGTAGTAGTAGTAGTAGTAGTAGTAGTAGTAGTAGTAGTAGTAGTAGTAGTAGTAGTAGTAGTAGTAGTAGTAGTAGTAGTAGTAGTAGTAGTAGTAGTAGTAGTAGTAGTAGTAGTAGTAGTAGTAGTAGTAGTAGTAGTAGTAGTAGTAGTAGTAGTAGTAGTAGTAGTAGTAGTAGTAGTAGTAGTAGTAGTAGTAGTAGTAGTAGTAGTAGTAGTAGTAGTAGTAGTAGTAGTAGTAGTAGTAGTAGTAGTAGTAGTAGTAGTAGTAGTAGTAGTAGTAGTAGTAGTAGTAGTAGTAGTAGTAGTAGTAGTAGTAGTAGTAGTAGTAGTAGTAGTAGTAGTAGTAGTAGTAGTAGTAGTAGTAGTAGTAGTAGTAGTAGTAGTAGTAGTAGTAGTAGTAGTAGTAGTAGTAGTAGTAGTAGTAGTAGTAGTAGTAGTAGTAGTAGTAGTAGTAGTAGTAGTAGTAGTAGTAGTAGTAGTAGTAGTAGTAGTAGTAGTAGTAGTAGTAGTAGTAGTAGTAGTAGTAGTAGTAGTAGTAGTAGTAGTAGTAGTAGTAGTAGTAGTAGTAGTAGTAGTAGTAGTAGTAGTAGTAGTAGTAGTAGTAGTAGTAGTAGTAGTAGTAGTAGTAGTAGTAGTAGTAGTAGTAGTAGTAGTAGTAGTAGTAGTAGTAGTAGTAGTAGTAGTAGTAGTAGTAGTAGTAGTAGTAGTAGTAGTAGTAGTAGTAGTAGTAGTAGTAGTAGTAGTAGTAGTAGTAGTAGTAGTAGTAGTAGTAGTAGTAGTAGTAGTAGTAGTAGTAGTAGTAGTAGTAGTAGTAGTAGTAGTAGTAGTAGTAGTAGTAGTAGTAGTAGTAGTAGTAGTAGTAGTAGTAGTAGTAGTAGTAGTAGTAGTAGTAGTAGTAGTAGTAGTAGTAGTAGTAGTAGTAGTAGTAGTAGTAGTAGTAGTAGTAGTAGTAGTAGTAGTAGTAGTAGTAGTAGTAGTAGTAGTAGTAGTAGTAGTAGTAGTAGTAGTAGTAGTAGTAGTAGTAGTAGTAGTAGTAGTAGTAGTAGTAGTAGTAGTAGTAGTAGTAGTAGTAGTAGTAGTAGTAGTAGTAGTAGTAGTAGTAGTAGTAGTAGTAGTAGTAGTAGTAGTAGTAGTAGTAGTAGTAGTAGTAGTAGTAGTAGTAGTAGTAGTAGTAGTAGTAGTAGTAGTAGTAGTAGTAGTAGTAGTAGTAGTAGTAGTAGTAGTAGTAGTAGTAGTAGTAGTAGTAGTAGTAGTAGTAGTAGTAGTAGTAGTAGTAGTAGTAGTAGTAGTAGTAGTAGTAGTAGTAGTAGTAGTAGTAGTAGTAGTAGTAGTAGTAGTAGTAGTAGTAGTAGTAGTAGTAGTAGTAGTAGTAGTAGTAGTAGTAGTAGTAGTAGTAGTAGTAGTAGTAGTAGTAGTAGTAGTAGTAGTAGTAGTAGTAGTAGTAGTAGTAGTAGTAGTAGTAGTAGTAGTAGTAGTAGTAGTAGTAGTAGTAGTAGTAGTAGTAGTAGTAGTAGTAGTAGTAGTAGTAGTAGTAGTAGTAGTAGTAGTAGTAGTAGTAGTAGTAGTAGTAGTAGTAGTAGTAGTAGTAGTAGTAGTAGTAGTAGTAGTAGTAGTAGTAGTAGTAGTAGTAGTAGTAGTAGTAGTAGTAGTAGTAGTAGTAGTAGTAGTAGTAGTAGTAGTAGTAGTAGTAGTAGTAGTAGTAGTAGTAGTAGTAGTAGTAGTAGTAGTAGTAGTAGTAGTAGTAGTAGTAGTAGTAGTAGTAGTAGTAGTAGTAGTAGTAGTAGTAGTAGTAGTAGTAGTAGTAGTAGTAGTAGTAGTAGTAGTAGTAGTAGTAGTAGTAGTAGTAGTAGTAGTAGTAGTAGTAGTAGTAGTAGTAGTAGTAGTAGTAGTAGTAGTAGTAGTAGTAGTAGTAGTAGTAGTAGTAGTAGTAGTAGTAGTAGTAGTAGTAGTAGTAGTAGTAGTAGTAGTAGTAGTAGTAGTAGTAGTAGTAGTAGTAGTAGTAGTAGTAGTAGTAGTAGTAGTAGTAGTAGTAGTAGTAGTAGTAGTAGTAGTAGTAGTAGTAGTAGTAGTAGTAGTAGTAGTAGTAGTAGTAGTAGTAGTAGTAGTAGTAGTAGTAGTAGTAGTAGTAGTAGTAGTAGTAGTAGTAGTAGTAGTAGTAGTAGTAGTAGTAGTAGTAGTAGTAGTAGTAGTAGTAGTAGTAGTAGTAGTAGTAGTAGTAGTAGTAGTAGTAGTAGTAGTAGTAGTAGTAGTAGTAGTAGTAGTAGTAGTAGTAGTAGTAGTAGTAGTAGTAGTAGTAGTAGTAGTAGTAGTAGTAGTAGTAGTAGTAGTAGTAGTAGTAGTAGTAGTAGTAGTAGTAGTAGTAGTAGTAGTAGTAGTAGTAGTAGTAGTAGTAGTAGTAGTAGTAGTAGTAGTAGTAGTAGTAGTAGTAGTAGTAGTAGTAGTAGTAGTAGTAGTAGTAGTAGTAGTAGTAGTAGTAGTAGTAGTAGTAGTAGTAGTAGTAGTAGTAGTAGTAGTAGTAGTAGTAGTAGTAGTAGTAGTAGTAGTAGTAGTAGTAGTAGTAGTAGTAGTAGTAGTAGTAGTAGTAGTAGTAGTAGTAGTAGTAGTAGTAGTAGTAGTAGTAGTAGTAGTAGTAGTAGTAGTAGTAGTAGTAGTAGTAGTAGTAGTAGTAGTAGTAGTAGTAGTAGTAGTAGTAGTAGTAGTAGTAGTAGTAGTAGTAGTAGTAGTAGTAGTAGTAGTAGTAGTAGTAGTAGTAGTAGTAGTAGTAGTAGTAGTAGTAGTAGTAGTAGTAGTAGTAGTAGTAGTAGTAGTAGTAGTAGTAGTAGTAGTAGTAGTAGTAGTAGTAGTAGTAGTAGTAGTAGTAGTAGTAGTAGTAGTAGTAGTAGTAGTAGTAGTAGTAGTAGTAGTAGTAGTAGTAGTAGTAGTAGTAGTAGTAGTAGTAGTAGTAGTAGTAGTAGTAGTAGTAGTAGTAGTAGTAGTAGTAGTAGTAGTAGTAGTAGTAGTAGTAGTAGTAGTAGTAGTAGTAGTAGTATGCATCAGAATCTGAAGTGGATGAACTAATATACCATGTATCTACTGTTTGAAATGTTCAGTTCCAACCTGAACACTGTGTTTGAATCACTAAAGCATTAAAAATCCGAAAAATAGTAGCTCTGACTTTTTGTACTAAAAGAAAGACTACCTTTGTCACATAGACACTCCAACTTACACACACTTATTAACAACTACGTTTAATGAACTTCGAGCGAATTTTAAAGCATTCAACAACAGATATGGAATCTTCGTAATTTTTGAATATTAGTAAGGAATATATATGATACATGTTATGCTCATGGAAAACAACAGATTATTGGACTTTCAAAATGCGCCTAAAAATATGCTGTTCACATATAATACAATAGCCTAATTGAAATTTCTTCAATGAAAAAACAGGTAACCCATATGCTTTACTAGAAGTCATATGTTTAATACAAATCTCATCGGTTTGTATGAAAGGCTCATTTTGCAATGTTCATTGATCTTCGCCAGTAATCAGTATCATATTACATTCAAGTAATATGCTAATCTGTTAAATAGTAGTTAATTTCGTTTCCTCGTCTCAGGTACTGATAGAATTCCCTCAGTCGTGTTTGTAATCTCACCATTAAGGTAAGCAACAAATTGGAGACTAGACTATAGATGAAGGGATCCGGTAGGATGTTCTGAAACTAACTTTTGCATCCACAAAGACTCGTCAGCAAAAGTATATCTCCATACTTTCTGGAACTAATGCTCTCACTCGATCAAGCAATCTAACATAAGCCACACACAGTCGAAAATTTAACTATGAAGTAATTTTGGTATCGGATTAGATCTTCTCAAACTGTGACGACTGCGGTAATACACCTTCAACAATCTAACAAAATAAATTCCACGGTTTTTCGAAGGTACATAGTTGCGTGATGACATTGTGAACTTTAATCCATATGGTCCAATCTGCATTAACGACTAGACATGAAATTAGTTACTATCCAATGTTTTAGTAGTCTAACTACTTTAAAATTACATGAAAATCGCAGTTTGGGTGGTTCATTGAAAATATCACTGATTTCGGAACTGAGTGATGCATATTCAAATGTCTAAAGGAAGATACATTTTATCAAACTGGCAAACATGTCTTGATGATGACTCACCTCAAATGCGAAACCAAGATCTAAAGCTTCTTGTGAGTTATTTAGTAAATTTATGCAACCTTGTCTATAATTATTTAACATATATGATACTATATTGAACAAGAGATTAGAACTGCGTTATTAATAGAGTATTCATAAATTTCAAGGTGAGTGATATTTTAAACAATACTGAAAATAGTAGCATGAAAAAAGTCTGCAAATAATACATGCAAGTCAATAGTCCAATTAACAACACAAAGCAGATGAGGTGGAAACAAACTAGTGGTAATAGAATCTTACGATTATACAAAGAAAATTAGGAGAGCTAGAAACATGGTAGAATATACGAATGTATATGTTGCTTCTGAATGCAGAATTGGTGAAATGCTAAAAACTACTTATGTTTGTAAGTTTTTCATTCAGAAACTCTACGTTATATTTAAAGATTTGAATTGCTCATTGATACATATTCTTTTTTCGGTAGTCCAACACAATAATCCTCAGAAGTGTGCTTTAAAAAATGAGACTGTTTGGCTAAAATAACCAGCTTTGTTTGGGAGATCAAGCTAAAAGACAAGCACTGAGGTAGCCTAGAGCAACCGTTTGCTGTAAACATATTCATGGGCCAAACGTTGATTGAGAAAACAATCCAAAACCAAACAAAATAGAAAACATTTTCCGCAGATCACAAGCTAACGTACTTTTACTTTATTCCTTCGTAAAAATATACAAATATCAATATATAGTTAGAAAATCCACCTGGAAAAGCCCAAGGTGCCTAGATCATTTTTATTTCATCGACAACACGGAAGAATTATCGGCAATGGTGAAAAGTTTATATTACTTAATAAAATGTTATCAGCTAAGGCTCGAACTAACTACAATTTCTATCTAATATAAACTGGCTGTGATTCGTATTGGCTAACAATCTTTTACATCTAACACATTAATTTTGTTGTACACACCTGTAATGTAATTTAAAACACTTAATTTTAAGATACATTTGGTAGTACCCCAATCGATTTCAGTAATTAAGATGACATCGTGTATTCCGCCGTAAAATATTTATCTAATATTCTTCTAAAACTAATGACATGTTTTAAAAGCGCACATACACAAACAATCAATAGATTTGTATTTCTCAAATATATAATGGAAAGACTTGCAGTAGTATCATTAGACTGTTATATACTCAACCCAAACAAAACCTGTTATTCGATCAGCGACCGCCATATTCTACTTATACAAATAAATACATGGAGGATGCCTTTATCATCCGCGACGTAAACATACCCTACATGGTAAATAAGAACTTTCGTCTAAATTTGAACGAATAGTTTCACAATATTTGGGCGCCGAGTTAATTTGAGACATTAAAAAGAAGAATATATTTGTAAAATCTCAGCGAATGAATTTTAAGTAAATCCAACGTTTCGCCTGGCAATCTGGTCCAAGCTTTTTTAAGGAAAATATAATCAAACAACAAAATTATCGAATATAAATAGGTACCTGGTTCTTCGGTTTACTGTATACTGAATAAGTCATCCAATCAACGTGAAGGATTTTTTATAAATAGGTATTTGTATTAATGTGTAAGAGACCTGTTTATATGAAAAATAATAAAGGTCAAACAAATAAAAGTTCATTTGAAAATAATCAAGGGGAGAGAAAGAATAAGAAATTGTCATGTTATCCTAGGCCACACCCTACATGGATTCAATAATTCCCACAAGGTAATTACTTTCACACTCGGATGGGAGGGGGATTTAGTATTTTATCTTCTTCATATTTCAGTAAAGCAATTTCTGGACGGCTCACAATGGGATTCAGTATGTCTAAAATCAACATATAACGAACAAAGTCGGTTTCCTTTGAATCAGAAGAGAGGGTTAATTCAATCTCTATACCCGACTACCAGGAGAAACTGTACCAAGAAATCTATCGATAAAAAACTGCATATCATCCAGCGGATACCCAATGAGAATAACTTCTTTCATGTTCATTCAAAGAAAAATAATACCCAAACAACAAACGGAAATAACATCTAAAATACTCGGAATACTTTGTTTATGAACGTTGAATCCAAAGCCCATATAGCGGAGGAAATTTTAGTGTCGATTAACAAGATCGCTAAGAAAAGCTTCTTAGTCACTTATACTTCGGCTTGTTTTTGCCAGTGAACGAATAATTTAAGAATACGTTAAGGATAAATTCCATCTTTGACTCAATTAGATTAATAATCAGTTTACTTGTTCTTCTGGACCAGATTATATTGCACAAAGCATACTGTCTCCAAGTGAATTTCACAAGTATTACTCAGCATCGTTATTTAAAGGTGAATATAAAACGATTAACAGTTTTATTTGCTAATAATTAGTCAACCCCGGTCACATAATCCCTCCAGAATTAGCTTTCCAAATCATCGATCGGTTTGGGTAAACTGACTGAAAACGTACAGTTCAGAGATTTGTGCACAGCCAGAGAGTTGACAGTTCATCGTTAAAAAGCTTATCTATGAGTTCAGCAACGATATATTCAAGCTATCATCATATTTCGATCTTGAGAACTAAAATTAATAATAATACATCCCTCCCCATTTTACATGTTGTACTTTATTTATCCATGTTTTCTTCTTCTTCTTCTTCTTCTTCTTCTTCTTCTTCTTATTATTATTATTATTATTATTATTATTATTATTATTATTATTATTATTATTATTATTAGCTATGAGTAGGATCGTATAGCTTTGGTAAATAAAATCATCGAAATGAAACTAGTTTCTTTCTCAATAATCTTATTATCACGTACAGACAACATTAAAAAGTGAATATTGTTGTAAACGTTGTAAGAAATCAAAAATGACAGTTGTATTGGTATTTCAACACTAATTGTGAACGAATGAACACAAGAAAAACACGAGTTGAAGTAGTGTATAGAAAATATATTGTGATTACCAAGCAAGAAACAGCGTGATAGAATTAGGATGGGTATAATTAGAAAAGGATTTTAGTTAAACTGAACTGTTTCTGAAATGGAATTAGTTTGCCGTTACCCAGTTTGACGCAAATAGAATTTGAATGGAACCGATCAGAACAAGAGAAGTGTTTAGAAATTGTGTCACAAACGAATATACTTAACAAAATTGATACAATAAGATCGTCATACAAGCATGCAAGCAACAATATAAGCAAAAAAGATGTTTTTCAGTCACGTGACAGTTTGATTTTATAAGCAGTCCACCTGGATACAAATGTGTATAATCCTTTGATGGAGCATTAGGACAAGCATCCTTCACAAATTAAAAACAATTCAGTGGCTAAATCATTCAGATTCTTGTCAGCTGACGCGCACAGCTTTCATGTTAAAAATTTGATTAACAACCATTTTGGAAGCAATTTCTTCATACAAGCTAGTTCAATGACTACAATAAGACGTATCCATCTGTTCGGAAATTCAGTATGAGACAAATCTATACCACAATAACACACAAAAAGAACTAAAGTAATAACATTTTATCTTGCGAAATAAATTTTCTGTAGATTGAAGGTGATTCCTTATCAATATTCCTAGAACACGATAGTAAGCGAACCACCAGTCTTATTAATATTATTCAGATTATTTCTGGACAAGCGTTTACTTCCAAAAGGATTCAAAGTGTTTTGTAGCAAATGAAATGACAGGAGACATGTGATCTGGAAAGCTGAACAATATGAGGATTGGTAGGAAACTCGGATTTTCCATCCACGCAGAAACCAACTATAGTGAATCATCACCTAACTCTTAAACGTTAGAAAATCATTTATCCAAATCGGTAATATAAGTACATTTCTTTTATTATAAATCTTACTATTTTAACTGCTATTTAAGTTACTAGTTCCCGGGCGA